TCATTATACTCCCTTCCTACTTCTCTTTATTATGTGAGGAATAAATGATAGAAGTAGAAATCTAATTAAGGGACAGAGGAAATAAATAACAAGTCATACAACTCAAATGTGGTTCAAAGTATTGAACAACCTCATTTTTAACCAACTCAACCAACCCCCAGAATCCTCCCTCAGAGAGTCTCAAGCTTTAGCTTGGGAATTTGAAACCTCTCTGAAGATTTCTTCGGGTTTGATCTCTTCTCCCATCTCTCCTGTCTGCTGGTGCCCCTCTATTGCCCCTTCTCTTAAAATGAATTGTGATGCATCTTTCAATTCTGATAACTCTTGGGCTGGGATTGCTGGGGTGGTAAGAGATTATGCAGGGAATTGGATATTGGGTTTCTATTAGAAATGCAGAGTCAAAACGGCTTGTCTAGGGGAGTTGGCTGTCATTGCAGCTGGGTTAGAGCTGATCAGAGAAAAGGGCTGGGACAGAGTGGGTGTTTACTCAGACTCAGCAAGCTGTTGATCTCATCTCAAAGGAACTGACTATAAAGGATATAAAGTCTAATATTCTGAAATGGTGCAGGGTCCAGCTTGAGGATATGCAGCAAGTCAAAGTTCACTATGAAGGCAGGAATGCAAACAGGGCAGCTGGCTTATTAGCTCAATATTGTAGGACTTCTCCGTATCAAGATGTTACTCTTGTAATTTTGTATGATCCACCTGACTTAATTCGAGATGTAATTTTGGAGGATAAGCCTCCCTAACTACCTTATAACTCTTACTAATCTTTAATCTAGTTTCTGCCCCCGGCTTTGCATCAAAAAAAAATGTGGTTCAAAGTATTGACCAACCTACCCTCTTGAATTTGTGAAGTGAATTTTTGTTTCAAATAAAAAAAAAAAAAAAATATTGACCAACCTTGAATAATAGTAATTAGCAGTATGGTCGGTTTTGCCTAGTTTACAACGAGTAATATTGATTGATCATATATTGCATGTTGATATCCCACCAAGATTTTCCCACCTCTTTATGGAGTGAAGGCCCCATCAAAAAGGAGGAGAAGGCGACTGATAATTTTTCAAAGGACGAGAATCAAACACTATTTTGGTAAGTGGGAGATCCCTTTCTTACTTCCAATTCCCACCAAGTACGTTTGGTTCATATCTTTTCTAGTGCTATAATGCTATCAAACAAGTTAATAGTCACCATGCAATTACGATCATGATCCATGCAAATTTCATTCATTCAAGTTACCCTTTAAGATTTTGATTTGATGGGTCAATATATAATATACTCAACAACTATGCTAAAACAATACTCCCTCTAGTCTAGAATAAAAGCCCATTGATCTCAAACTTAAAAAGAAGTTTAATATGAGTTTTTTTTTTTTTTTTTTGTAAAATCTATTTTCTTAATTATCAAGGAATTAATCAATAATTCACTATATTTTTCAAATACTAAAATTTAATAATCAAACAAATTCATTATCATTATGTTTTTAATTTATATTCTTCAAGACATGTTTAGAAAAACAAATAGGACTTTTATTGATAGACATAGGAAGTAATTTTCATGATCATTCTCATTTTCATGGTCCATCCTTGAAAATTTAATGTTAATTCTCATTTTCATGGTCCATCCTTGAGCAACTATTATCATAATAAATAAATAAATAAATAAATAAATAAATATTACCAAATTTTATCATAATACATATTCTTATAAAAAAAAATACAAGATTTTATGTGTTGATGGTCACACTAGCTTTGAGGCTAGCATCATGCATGGGGTATATTTCGTTAGTGTTATAGAAATCACTCATTGGTTAGTGTTATAGGGGTTACTTCATCAGTGTTATATGGATTACTCAATCAGTACTACAGCCGCACACAAGACATGTTATATGAAAAATATTTGAATTCGTATCATTGTGCAGTTTCATAACACTAAGTTTGTTATATATAGTTTTTGTTAATACATACGTAATTAGAAATCGATACTAATAGCCATTGTACATTTTAAAAATCGTGTGAATAGATATATACACTATATTATTAGACGAAGAGAGCCTATTTTGAATGATTAATCGCATTTAACTTTTGATTAATTTGTAGGGTTAGTTTGTCCTCATAATGACTTGATATTTTTTTTTTAATAAATACAAAAACTAAAATATTCCCAACTCATATTCCGTATCTTCCTTGAAAAAGTTATGGAAAATGACGTGTAGAAAAGGGAATGATGTGGCTTCATTAAATATAATTGTCTTTGTTTATTTACTTTTATTTTTCTTCCCATGGTTGATTGATTTTGATTAAATAATTGTCTAATTGGGTTGATGATATTGACCAAACATGTCCCCCCATAAGGAAATGATGGAAGTAGAAAGCAACCATACAACTATGACTCTTTGACACGAATAAATGTGATAAAATACATTTTAAAATAAATTGATTAATCCGCCATATTGATTTGTGGTAGAGATATGATATATCTGAAAATATTTGTGATATATTATATCTCTAACAATTTGAGTTTTGTAATACTCTCTGTCTCTCTCCGTTTTATAATGTTAGTCTCATATAGAATCAATCACATAAAATAAGAAAATAAATATATTTGGAATCTAACATTAAAGTACGAGTACAACATAATTCATAATTAGTTTACTTTATTTAACTTTTTTGATTTTTTTATTAGGAAAGCACCAGTCATAATTGCATAATTTAAGGTAAAAATTTTCTTAATTAGAGTCATGTCATCAATCCACAATCAATTAATTCCAAAAAAAAATCAAGTTATAAATAAAATATATCGATTTGGGTATATCTTTTTGAAACGCCCAAAATCATACTCCGTATATGACAATATGGGACTAACATTATAAAACAAAGGGAGTATTTATTGTTTTCTACCACATACTACGGTTTACTCAAAATTTTGTAACTTTATAAGAAAAAAAATCTCCTATGAAATATGATTAACTATAAAGGAATTGCATAAGGTTGTAGAAGCATCATCTAATATAAAAGGTCAATATTACAGATTTACAGGACTTTTTCAAATTATTAATACCAATATTTAGATTATCATACATAATATATATCATTATTATAATGCAATAATGGAGATATTCTAACTTGAGAAAATTTGTTGCATATCATTATTAATCAGTCCCACATTAATCATTGTTTTGAAACTATGGAGAAAGGATTTAATAAAAGAAGAGAATGATTACAAGGGCCAAGCTATTTTTCTAATGACTTACCAATAATAATGAACCATTCCCCTTTTTCTTTTCTTCTATTTTTTGAAATTCTATTGGTTGAGTGTGATATTAAATTAATAATTGATTATTATAATCAAAGTAATAACAGGCAAAATTCTAATTCAATTTACGTGCAATTATTTTGAAATAGGAGTTGTTTGTCGTATTCAAATGAAATTTATATATGCATGCTATTGTACTTTTTCTTATTAAGGGACTTTTGATCACTTATTTTTAAATAATAAAAAAAATAAATTATAACCATTTAATTTTACTTTATTAATATTTTCTTGGGTGTAGAGAGTCATAAGGAATTAGTGTGACGTAGATGAGATTTGATTACATGTCTAGGGTAATTATACCTAATCATTATTTTAAGATCATTGTGCTAGTTGGATAATCTTGGCATTCATCTGCATAATCGATCTTTATCCTATTAATTCGGAAGAATACATGTTTATTGGGCTCCATATATGATTATATGAAAGATTTATTTTCAATAAAACAAAATCCTAGTCTTTTGCCTAATTATAATAACATAATGTGGTCATTGTTCCACAAGAAATAAGGTTGTTGTAGATATATAAAACTAATTGTAATTAATAAAAATAAATTTATAAAACTGAAGTTGGGAATTGTTATTTACCAACTACAGAGTAATATGCAAGTATGCAATATAGAAGAATCATCTAAGATCATCATAGCTTCGGAGGAAAAATTAGGTAAATGTGAGTAAGATAGAGATAGAGTAGGGTAGGATTAAAACACAATTCATTCATGAATTGAACATAGAGTGGAGTGAAATGAAGGGAAATGGTAAAAAAAGAAAACAAAAACTTTTATACACATCTAATGTACGGTAATATTATTGTATATCAGGGTAACTTTTACATTATTTTTGGTAATTATTATCAATAAAGTATAAATAACTTTTATTTATATCATGGTAATTTATATATAATGGATAACTTTCATTCATTAAATGATAACTTTTGATCATTTTAAGATAAATTTATAGCGGAGGCTTTATTGGCGAACTTGTCCCTATTGATATCAGTTAACAAAAACATGTTAATATCATCAATTTTTCTCCCTCCTCCCCTCACATGGCCAATTTTTCCTTCTCAACTTGTACGGTGGTGATAGAGGGGAGATAAAAGGGGTGTGGCTGCTAAACTTACAAAATTAGCCTTGATATTAACAAGTTTTGTTGATATTTGATATTAACTTGTATTTTCTCTTTATTGTACGTCTGATTTTTTTTAAAATGTTTGTGGAAAAAAAAATGGCTAATTGAGAATTGAGACGAATGATGATGGGTTCTAAATTAGTTTGATTATTATACTCCATATACAACTTGAAACAACAACCTTAATTTCCTCTCTCAACTTGACTAGCTAAGGAATCAACATTGCTGAGTGGTTAACAAGAATGCAAGCAAGTAAAAATCATGCCAATTAACTAATTAGTTGAGTTTTAACCTAAACCCTAAACAATCTATAACCTACACTGAATTTTCTAGCTACGATCTTCTACAAAACTCTTTTATGTCCTCTTTAATCTCTATTATATTTTCACGAATGATATAGGTGATTACTGTCCAAATAAACTACAAGAACTAAAGCACACAAAAATATCAAAAAAAAGTCATGTATTCTTTTTGTTATTAATGCTATGGAACAACACCATGTAAATGCAGCCCTAACATAGCAATCTTTCCACCCAAAAGTCACCGTCCAAACACAAGTTACAGCTTCACGTTCTTTAATTTATTAGAAACGGAGTAAAAAATTTCATTGTCATTGACAAAGCGAGCAAAAATTCGACCGTTAAAGCATTCCAACATTAACCGCCAAAACAAGCAGTCAAAAACCGCGTCATCCACCCCTGCCAACTACCTCTCCCGGCTCCACCACCATCCACCACCCGATAACTTTTTTATTTTTTTATTTTTTTTTAAGGGTAAAATTGAAATTAAATTAAAAAACAAAAATAAAAACAAAAAATCCCCTTACTTCTTCTGATCTAAATCCTGCAACACCAGTACACCACCCAACAACATCAACAACAACAACAATCAAATGGTTGTCACACATCTATGTTGTTGTGGACCCCACACATGATGCATCACCCGTTGTTGATAACACCGCCGTATTCCTCCCGCAGCCGCCGCCGTCGCCGGCACCCTCCTCAACTCTCTCTCCTCCTCCTCCGACACCGTCTCACCTTCATCATCCGACGATTCATTCGTCTCCTCTTCTTCATTTTCCGCCTCTTCCGAATCATCTCCGCCATCTTCATCATCATCGGAAACGCCAGTGCTTTTGACAAGATGCATCCTCAACCGTCCATTATCACGCGTTGCGCAAAGCATTTCTGGGTGTTCAATCATAACCCCAATTATCTCCAATCTACCTTCATTTCTCACCGATTTTAATACGAAATTTCTTCTTCCGTTTTCACTCAACGACGTTAATGGCGGCGGAAACTTCCTCTCCTCCCACCTCTTCCCCACCCCCCTCTCTCTCCTCCTCGAAAAACACCCTTCCGATGATGACGATGAAGACGAAGACGATTCTCCGTCGTAATTCCTACAGCAATTCCGACCCAGATCGTCGAAACTCGATATCATCTCATCGGAACTCTCGAACCCGATACTCTCCGTGCACGACATCAGGTCTATGTGGGCGGAATTACCCTTATCTCCGGCGGTAGGACCGGTGAGAGATTCGATGGGTTTAAGGGGATTATTGTGATTATCGACGGCGAGGGTGAAATTAAGCGGTGGTTGAGAAGGTTGGAGAAGAGGAGAACAACCACCAAGTGTTTGATGAAATGCTTGAGAGAAGTGGTCTTCCTCCAAGGAAGGAGGAGGAAGGCCAAAGAATGAGTTCACACTATTATTCCTGCAAATGCTCGTCATCTCTTATATTTTGTGCTTTTATTTTTATTTTTTTCTCTCTCTTAATTTTTTTTTAAAAAATAAATCTCTTTAGGTCTATTTATTTTCTCATTTTTTGAATTGGGAAATGTTCGTTTTTTTTCAGGTAATTTTTTTATTTATTTTGGGAAGGGTGTGGTTGCTATAAATACGAAGGAAATATGATGGAAGTAGATGGAGGATATGAGCTGGTAGTGAAGGTGATCCTACGTGGGTCCCTCTGTACTTTCTCGTTCTGTTTTATCATGGGACACGGACTTACAATAACTTATTTTACTTTCTTTAATTTTTTTTAAGGGTAATGTTATATGCAGCCCTAAAGACTATATATATAAGCATAAAATTTACTCTTGAAAATTATATAAAAAGAAAAAAAAAATATATGCAGTCATATGTATTGCAAATAAGAAGCTAAAAATGAAAAGAATTGACGTAAATAAACATTTATTACACCGATTTACTCATGAATTATTGATAAATTTCCAACTTAACACTAAAAGAAAGTATATTAAATACTTATATAAAATTTAGGGTTGTATATAGCATTACCCTATATAAAATTAGGAATTTATGACAAAAACACGTGTAAATCAGTATTTATATTTTTATGATTTCTTTACTTTAATGTTTATATAGTCCTAAGAGCTATGTATAGTATTTTCCTTTTTTTTTAATTCATCATTTTAGTTTTGCATTATTTACCTGACTTAATTTATCTGCTACTTCTTATTTGATTTTGAAAAATGATAAACATAGCCCTAAATTCTATTATATTGATTTTCGTGTGATTTTGTTATTAATTCACAGCTTAATTCCATTTTAGAAAGTATATTTAATGCTTATACATAGACCTAAAGGCTACATATATATATCGTTACCCTTTGGTTTTCACAATGTCTATTTTCATAACATAATTTTGTTATTGTACAATTTTTGTTACTAATAGCCAATTGAAGATATTAATAGTTAAAATTGCATTCATTTTGACAATTATACCAGTCAAACTGGCGTTTTTTTTTTTTTTTTTTTTTTTAGAATAATACACGAGATATTTAAAAGGATGGTACTTAGCTACCCGATTTTTGGTCTCATGTTAAATTATTGTAAATCAATTTCACATAAGAATTATCGATTTTTGGGTGGGGTGTGAGAAATATAGATGAGGATGGTTTTGCTATGGGTAAGCTCAAATTTGCTATGTTCAAGGTGAGAACACAAGTCTAAAACCTGTGTAGAAAAGAAGCCGTTAGAAAAGGAAAGAAAAATGAAAGTTTCAAAATCTGTGTTTTTTTTACGGGGATTAGATTTTGGTTGATTTTAAGGTGGTTTTTGGGAACAAACAAGTCTTATTGAAACGTAAAATTAAAAATAAAAATTAAATGCACACATATTATGGTAATGTTAATAATGTAGACAGCTCAGGCACAGCTACATGAACTAATTCTCTAGCAAAGGAAGAAGGTAAAAAAAAAAAATAAGATTACAATTTCACATTAAGTAATTAAAAAAAACCGTAAAAAATTGAGAAATTAAAAATATTTATTCAAAAAAAAAAATACTGGAAAGTGGAAATAGTTATGGGCATTTTTTGGCAACATAAGTTTGACTAAATTGGGAAATTGTACTTGCTTTCAAAAAAAAAAAAAAAATTGGGAAATTGTACTTTGTGTACTGTGAATTATCATCCGTAGGTGTGTACTTGTTTTATCCTTTGAGAATCCTTGGGACTTATCACCAAATTAAAGTGGATATTTATTTTCAAATAATCGGACATTCAGTTTTGTTTTGACCATTTTAATCTCGTGAAATTAAAGTCGCAAGTCTCCGTATTATTTTCCTAATTTTGCTAAGGGCTACATATAAGCATTTAATTTAATCTTGAAAATTGTTTAAATTTAAAAAATCATGACAAAAACACATTAATTACACCGATCTGCGCGTATTTTTGTCATGAATTCATAACTTTATACATTTTTCAAGAGTAAATTCAATGCTTATATATAACCCTAAGGGCTATGTATAGCATTACCCTTATTTTATTTGTCACTTAAAAAAAAAATTATGTGGTATATACTACTCCGTAATCTAAGGTATATATTATGTGTTCTTTCAAAAAAAATATATATATATTATGTTCAACCTTTTTTTTTTCTTTTTTTTAATGCAGAATATGTTCAACTTATTTCAACAAACTAATCTTGGGTTAGTTTGGTGTACGATACACCCGGGTGTATATGACGAATTCTAAATAATACCATATGAGGTATTATTGTGAAAATTTATATGTGATCCATTATGATAAATAGATTTTAAAAATTAAGATATTTAGGTGATAATTAGGTTTTTTTTACAAGAATTATGTGATTTTTACGTGTTATACACGTTGATCCTGATTAAGTGCGATGATTCGTGAAATTATGCAATATAGTACATAAGTTCTTGCAAAGCTTATCCTATCCGAACTTATTATGAGTAATTCTTTTTTTTTTTTTTGACAAAATTATGAATAACTCTTATTTGAACTCTTTCTAAGAAAATAAGTTAAAATATGGTCCCAAAAAAATAGACTTAGGGCCTTATCTCATTGACTGAACTGAACTGAGCTGAGCTGAGCTGAACTGAACTAAACTGAAATGAACTGAATATTTTATAAGAGAAGGAAATTAGGAGCTGAACTGAACTGATTTGAACTGAACTGAGCTGAACTGAATTTCAATGTAAGAGAATAGGCCCTTAATCAAATATCATTATCCCAATAGAACGGATATCTTTGCTCTTGGACTTGACCAGCTGATTAGGCATTAAGAGACATGTATTAGATTGTTTATAAAAGGACAAATTGATTCAAGGCATATCTAAAATATCATATTGAGGCCCGTTTTTGTGCAAATTATATTCACAAAATAAGTTTTGGAAATTGTGTGTGTAAATAAGCTTAACACACAAATTACATCATGTAAACTTATTTTAATTTATTTTACATTATTGTTCTTGTTTTATTTTATTTTACATTATTTGAATTTATTTTTTCAAAATAACATAAAATAAGTTAAAATAAGATCAAACAAATAGACTTTGTTATTAAGATTGAGAAAAAGCCTTTATTTATTTTATGAGTAACTTTGATTTTCTGGGAAGGTAATCTAATTTTGTGCATTAAAGTAACCCCATCTTATTGTACAAGTTACATCAATTACTTAAAAACAATGCATGCAAGCATAATCGTTTATTCAATCAACCCATTTAATTTATTTTTTATACTCTATCACATCTCCTTTACATGAGAGTTGTTTGGGTTTGAAATGTGGATGCATCATTAGCTCTCCTCATACCCTATGCTTAATATTCGATTTGAAATAAGAGGTGGATAAGATTCGAACTCGTGATATTTTTGTCATGTTGGCTCTGATACCATGTCAACCAAAAACTTAAAATATGATTAAGGCTTAAAAAAATGTTTTATACTCTTTCAAAAGTAACCCCATTTTTCCATTGATGCAATTTAACCTCTCATTCACCAAGGTAATTTGATCATCGTAGTAGCTTGAGGTGCTTAATTAAATGTTGGAAAATGTTATACATAGCCCTTAGGGTTACATACTCCCTCCGTCCCCGAAAGAACGACCCATATTTGGGTTGATTTAGCGGGTATTAAGAAAGTTAAATAAAAAGAAATAAAAGTATATTGGAAAGATAAATTTACATGAGTTTGTAAAAAAGTAGAGAGAAATTAATAAAAGTAGATGGGGAAACAAATTTTTTTAATGAAAAGCTAATTTTGCACAAATATTATTGCAAATTGGTGGGGATTTTAATGCAAATGGGTCATTATTTTTGGGACAAAAATTAGGCTAAATGGGTCGTTCTTTCGGGGACGGAACTAGTATAAGCATTAAATTTACACTTGAAAATCGTAAAGAGTTAAGAAATCATCAAAATATAAACACTGATTTACGCGTGTTTTTGCCATAAATTCCTAATTTTTTTATACAATTTCCAATTGTATATTTAATGCTTATATCTAGCCCTTAGGGCTACATATAACATTACCCTTAAACTTTTACAATCTTTATATGTGAAATGATTACATCATCAACTAATGGTGTGACTAGCCACATATATTACAATGAACGAATTTAAATAGAAACTTAAAAAACACTTTGTAGATGAGGTATTTATTTTGTCACAAATTTCAAAATTTCAATACTACAAGTCTACATGTACATTATTTTTAGGGGGAATACGAGTATTTAATACGAAGTGTATATATGAAGAATAGATGGTCCAAGATGGGAGCAAAATCCCATTAGTGGGTTTTCCAATTCCATTGGTGGATTACGGGGACTGCAAATAAAAGACTAATTATGGCATGTATTTGTACAATGTACTGTATTTTTATATGGAAATATACAGTGTATTTTATTGTGTACTGTGTAATAACAAATCTGATTGGCTGGTTGATGGCTAACAAATTTTCAGATTCAGGGTTTCACAGTACGTTTTTGTCTTAGTAAAGGCACGTTAATAATGTGCTGCTCTTGTAGTAGTGTCCAAATATGCACTATCTAATTATCCATTTGAATTTGAGTATATGTTATTCGAATGGTGGACATTTGATGTAGAATTGTAGATCAGATCATGTTGTCCGTCTAGTCTGTACGGAGTACTCAAATACAGCAAATTTGCCAACTTGTTGTAATTTTTTTTTTATTTTTTTATTAAAAAAAAAACAAAAAAAAGTAATGAGAAAGATTCTAACAGTATCTCAACTTTTTCGGTTTTAGACAATTTGAGAGTGAGGGAGAAGGAAAAAGGTAAGGATTTCTATACTACCGTCAAAGTATCTCTAGTGGTGAATGGGGCGATTGAACCCCTGAACTCAAGGTTGGAAGATGTAATTTTTTTTCATTAGACCAAACTTAGCTTGATAACTACGTATTTGTGAATTACATTGCTTGGTTGTTGGTTACATCTTTTATTATTGAGTTCGTGCAAATTAGGTATGTAATGGTAAGTATGATGCTTGTCATGTTCTCGAATTAATCGAAACTCCAAAGTGATGATGATATTAATAGATTGGGACAGAGTAACTACTTAGTTACTCCGACTTATACACTAAGATCTTTAATAGCATGTTAAATTTCAAAAATATAAATGGGTTTTATTAGATGACCGGATAAGAAGGATTAGAGTTTGTTCTTAACACAAATTAAAAAGTACTTCGTACCATCGTTTCCTAATAATTAACTCAGTCAAACTAGCAATTATATTAGTTTGACTCTAAGATAAGATAATGTGAACCACATTTTGTGATTCATGCGAAAGAACTAATTAATACAGTATTAGAGTCTCATTTCTAACATTTTTTACTCACATAATAAAGAGAAATGAGACTATATAAAAGGACGGAGGGAGTATAAGTTAGCACGTGGAATTTTATTAGATTCGCTTGAGGGTCTCTTCAGCTTTTTTTCAGTTCAGTT